ATGCCACACTCTGACATAAAGATTTTCAGAGAGTCACCAGGCACCCTCTTCTTCTACTGCTGATGCCAGGACTGTAGTCCCCGGGCCCTAGCTGAAGCTTCCGGGAGCTGTAAAGTCAGGAGAAGCTTGTCTGAGCATTAAAAGCAAAACTCTCCACTTACAAGGAGGCCAGAGTCCTCAAGACAGGATAACCAGGTAGTAAAGTCTGGGGTGGGACCCCAAAAGTCACACTTCCTGTCTCTATGACACCTGCAGAAAGAACTTAGTGTCCGCACGCTGTCTCTCTTCGGAGAGAAGTGATAACTTCGGGAATATTCGTGCACTCATCTCCAGATCAATATTTATGATTTCCCAATCTCTCGAACACTCTAGAGAGTGTAGTAAGTGGTGGGGGGAATCCTGATGGTGTGGGATCTTTGCCTTTTTAATGGAGATCGACCAGCAATCAAACGTGGGGCTAAAATTATCAGGCTGCCTTCATGCTCGGGTCTCTGCCATGTGGGGCAGCAGGCTGAGATTTGTATTTTAAAATAGCTTGACAAAGTAGATCATGAAAAATGACCAAGCAACTAGAATCTATGGTTCTAGGCTCTTTTGTGCTCTCTCTCCCTCCCTTTCCCTCTCTCTGTTTCTCTCTCTCTCCCTCACCCCACATACTCACATGCACATACAGGCCAAACAAAAATTCTGCCATCTATAAATAATATCTTCTATCCTGTATCCCCTTACTAATTTACAGTCATCAAGAGGAACTAGATATTGACATTGCTTAAAGGGATGGCAGATACAATGCCATATTCTACTTCATGGCTTTTGTTTACAAGAAACATTCCAGCAATGAAGAAGAACCAAGGTGGCCTAAAGATGATGGCAGTATATGGTCCCCAGTAAAGGTTGATAATATTGTTCTCCTTAATATATAAGCAATAAGTTCAAACCAGGGAAATGGCTTGCTACTTAATGCAAAAAAAAAAAAATATCTCAGAGATCAAATGGATTCTCCCTAAGGGGAAAGAGGCTCAACCATCAGCTGCTCAGCCAACTCTTCACCCTAGTCAACAACTCTGAAAGAGATGCAACGAAAGGTTTATGGGCTGGAAGCAGCAAATGACCTTAAACAGACCTACAGGCAGCTTGAGGGAGCTAGGATCACTTTGCTTCAACCTCCTACCCCTTGCTTGTAACAATATATAAGCCAGCTCTTCTCTTGACTCCAGGCACTCTGAATTCCCATAAGGAAGTATCACTTTTCAGAGAAGAAAATCAAACACATTTTCCTGGACATCCAATGATGGGAGGTGGGAGAGAGTCGGGTCACAAGGGTCACGGGGCCTTTTACCCAGCACAACAGAACGGGATTGAAGGTGTGAAACTCAAAAGACTCCAAACAGTTGTGCTGAGCCAAGGGATGGACACACCTCCACTATGTGGACAGCAAGGTTTCACCTCCGGCTTGCAGACTGTCTTAGAAATGAATAAGTTTGCAGTTATCAAAAAAGCCCAGTGTGACTTGTGCAACCACACTCTAAACGAAACACTGAAAAACTGAGTCCCGAAGTTCTAGAATCATCAGTGGAGGAGCTGCCGAGTGGATACCACATTGATGTCTTTGGCTGAATTTTTGAGAATGCCAGGATGTTTTAAACACAATTAATTGCAATAGCAAAGCTTATTAAGGTATACCAGGGCCAAAATCAATGTATTAATGGCACAGCATTCCTGTGCTTAACCAGGCGATGGTAAAATGCACATAGACGGGCTGGCAATAGAAGCTGTGAATTCTACTTATGTTGTGCTAGGAGAAAGGAATATTAGACTTGGTTCAAATCATTGCTCCCAGTTCAGAGAATACCACTCAAGAAGTCCGGAAAAGGATCCCTACTGGCCACCATAAACACATGCCATGTTAAAACGCATGGCTCCCACAATGTGGATTGCTGAATGCTATGGACCTGGACATTGAAAAACAAAAGTTTACCAAGGTAAACTGGTTTTAGCTGTAAATTAAGATGGCAAGCTTAACTGTGCCTTTTACCTAACACTTGGATGAGACTTAACATTGCCCTTTGCAATTCACGTGGGCATTTGACACAATGTTGACAGAATACAGAATTGTCCCCGGCCACAATGTGGAAACCTAGATGGCCATAATCCCAGCAACACTGCACTGACATGTGACATCACTACTGTTTGAAAAGTGAATTTAGCACCACCGTGGTATTAACCGTGTACAGACATCAGTAGCTGCCACTTGGCAATGGGACGCAGAGCATACGTTACTGATCCTCACAAAGAAATACGGATCTAGGCAGATGAGCTCAGCTGAGAAAGAATGTCACAGACATGCTGTGACACCAAGATTTCTAATAAAATAGGTTCAAACAATGGCTCTGACATCATAGAGTCGAGCTGACTTCAACTCTGAACAAACACGGCGTCCTACCTGTTAGCTAATCTATGCGTATATTTTCAAAATATTCTGACATTTCTCTAGAGAGAACCCTACAGGGCACACACCATGGTTGAAAATACAGACACTAAAAAGGACACATTATCTTTCAATATATGTAGTCAGCTGTTGCTTTAGCAAGTTGTGAAGGCAGATTACAGGTATCATTCCCGTTTTCAAAGGCCAGAAACACGTAACTTTAGGGATAGGCTGGTAAACTCAAGTGCTGGCCCAGACTATATTAGGGATAGTGCTGGACCAAATTACAAAGTCTTTAAAGCATGCAATTCAGTTCCAACTTTAGCTAGTATCCTCTGGCCGAGTTGTTCAAACAAATGCTCTCGTGTAAGAAAGGGCACACAGATGTGCTGTATTAAGGCTGAGGATGAAACTAAGTCAACTCCTGATACTGAGTTCAAAATAATTGGTCCTTTCCAAAGAAGTATTGCGGTACATTTTACAGAAGAAGATGCTCAGTGTGCCATAGGTAGGTGCAAGCACCACGGAGGGGATAAGTAGACCTTGTGGCTCCTCAGCCTGATGGGTTTCACCAGCCTTCTCCTGCATCCTGAATCCTCAGCCACACACAGTTCTCAGTCCCCTACCAATGGGTTTTCAAACCGGAGGGAGAAACATCAGACTAGATTAGGAACCGGGGTATCACCATAGAATGAATGACTGTGGCTTTAGTAAATATTAAAAAAAAAAAAAAGGAAGCTGCCTTCGCATAGAAAAGGAGTAACATCATCCAGAAGAAAGAAACCTAGAATGCTCCATCCAAACTGTTGATTTCATGTGCTCATCAGGCAGAAAGCTCTGGAAAGTTGACAGTAGTGCTCTTTTAACTTAGAGATACTTTTCTTTCTTTCTTTAACTTAGAGATACTTTTCTTTCTTTCTTTTTTCAAGCTTAAAATGTTAGTGTAAACAACTGACTTGAAAATCAAGCACTATGTCTCAATTCTCTCCTCATTCAATGTCTATCATCGAATTTTTAAAAAGCTACAGTATTCAGCTGTGTAAATGTACCTTCTTGGTCTCCCAGCACCAGAAATGCTGTAAGTTCCACAAGGCCCCTCCATCTAACCGACATCTGCCTTCGGAAAGGCAAGGGTTCTGAGAAAGGCCACAGGCTCTTCAGACAAGCCCAGCCTTGGGCAGGCTTTGCTGGGGCCATACCCACCCTACGCTCCCACTGGGATGCTGGAATTGTCAAAGACTGGGAACCCAGCCCCTGGACTCAGCTGTTCACTGATCGGGCTCAGCTATGCCAGGCCTGCACACTCCACTCTGCTGTCATTTCCTTCCACCCGAGTTCTAAAGCGTTGTCACCTTCAGCAGAACAGCAAAATTAGAAAGGACTCTAGCTTACATTAAAAAAACCAAAACAGGTTATCCTATGCCTTTGGCATTGGCAGACGCGTTGGCAGAAAACACTGTTGTACATTGGGGGGAGGGGGTGCATGCGCACTCGCCAACCGGAAGGCCACAGCCCAAGCCCTACTTTCAGGGCTGCCTTTCTCAGTCTCAAACACTGTGACGATCACCCAGGAAACTTAGCTTTATAATCCGCTACCCAGATGAATAAAACCTTGTGTTCATGAGACATAAAATGCCAAAACTGCTGGGAGAGGGAACGCAGGTGACCTCGGAATCAGGAGAAAGGAATGTTGAGCTCCTGCTTGGAGTGTATTTGTCACAAGACATCCAACAGAAAGAAAAGAAATACATGTCTCTGCTTCTCCATCAAGCTGGGACAAACTGTAACCTTTCTAGGGACAGGAAGATCTGAGGCTAAAGCTACCATCCATTAGAGTACACACGGCTTTGCCTTGCCATCCCGTCTAGTCCTAGAGAATTATTCAACGGGCAATTAAGATTTATAATCCAAATGGTCTCAAAATCATATCTCTGAGAAGTCAAGTCCAAATTAAATCAGCCCAGGCTTTTAGGTTCCCATGATCACATTTTCTCTTTTGAGCGAGTGCTTTTCGACACTCAGAACTTCTCCTCTTTCGGCGCATCCTCAGAGCGTCCCTGCAAGCAATCACCCCAGCAAAATCAGATAGATGATCCCAAAAGGGGAAGTGGTCAAACCCCAAAGCTTAGGAAAAGGCGTCAAGGAAGAGAGCCTCATTTCCTTCCACCGGTTTCTGAAAGTCCATGATTTTAGCCTCCTTTCTGGTAAATATTGCTGAAACTAACACAGCACACACAGTATTTGACCAAACAAGAATGTTCCACTATAATTCTCATGTATGGACAGCCAAACACACACCCTTCAGAACTTTGCAATGAGATGCACGTGGAGACAGAATATACATGCATTTATGGTTATATTTCTCTATATATGGAATCTTAGTGTCGCTCTTCACCAGCTGGTATAAACCAGTGAACCGGACAGGTAACTGACAAATGCTATCCCTGTGGTCTCTCGTCTTACAATGCTTGGGAAGGCATCCACACCGGGGGGGGGGGGGGGGGGGGGGGGTATATACCTGCCTAAGCCCTGAAGTGGAGGACAGAAAGAAGAAAAAGTACACGGAACTCACATTTCAGTGATGTTCTCCGGGTCGACACTGTTAGGTTCCAACCTTGGAAACGCCACGATGCCAGGAGAAGGCTCCGTACACCAGATCCTAGAGGCACTGCATTTGCAGGACATGGGGCAGGCGAGAGAGGCCCTCCAGAAGCCCACAGCCAGCCAACATAAGCCCCAGAGCCGCGCCATGGCGGGTCCATGCCACCTCGGCCAGGGCGACATCCCTCGCCGCCAGTGCCAATCAGTCCGGAGTGCTTGTCCCTACGCTGAGCCTGGCGTCCCCCGCCGGAGGGGGGAGGCCTTTCCTGCGCCCTCTTGCTGCTCGGTGCCGGTGGCCTCCCGTGGAGTGGAGTGTACCAGAGATTGAGCCTGTCTGGGTTGAGCAGGTTGGCGCAGGCCAAAGGGTTCACAGTGGCCGGGACATCGCGGGCCGCTGCTCCAAGCCACAGGGCGGCTGCATGGTCCTACACGCCAGGCACCACACGGTGGATCTCCCTGGACTCTTTGGGTCGCAGAACCGCTAAACCGGCACGGATATCGGTGCGCACCTCAGGGCTGGAGGACAAACAGACAGGGATGAGACCAAGCTTAGTGATTACACACCATCAACTGGGACACAGTCCGTCCGCGCTCTCCTCACCCCCACCAGACCCAAGCCTGTAGAATGGATGTTTAAGTGCCCAGCTCCCGCCCCGGAATCAACTTGCCCCGCGGTGGCCCCCCAGTGTGCCCGCCCTCCCTCCAAGCCTGAAGCCGAGGCAGGAGAGGTCGGGAAAGGGTCTTTGAGAGCAGATCCCATGGCACAGGCCAAGCCAAGGACCCTCTAAAGAGGACTCGGAGCCTGCAGCGGCGACGGGGCCCCAATGATGCTGCAGAATCCTCCCCGGCCGCTGGGCGCGGGAAGGGGGGGGGGGAGCGGGCAGGTGGCGTGGCACGTCCCACCTGGGGAGCAACTGCGGCAGAGGGACAGTGCCGGCCGAGGCCACGGAGGACTGTCCGTGAGGCTCACCCGGCCTCCGGCCCCAAGCGCAGGGATCAGAGCGCAGCAGCAACAGCAGCAGCAGCAGCAGCAACTGGGCTCTAACCCGCTGCCGCCGCCGCCTCTGCTACTGCTGGCGAAGTGACGTGAGGGCTGACGCAGAGCAGGGGCAGAAACTCCAGAAAATTAGTATGAAATCCAAAAACACACACGCACGCACACACACACACACACACACACACACACGAATAGCATAGCACCCTCCAGACAAAAGCAAGGCGGAGGGGAGGGAATCTGGGGACGAGCAGGGAGGAGGAGGCTTGGTGCTAGCGGCTAGGCGCAGACAGCAGCATGTGGGAGTTCACACTCGCGCGCACGCACACACCTTGGCGGGATAGTTGTGCGGGTGTGCATGTGTGCGTGTGTGCGTGCGTGCACGCGTATGTGTGTTGTGTATGGTGTGTGTGTGTGTGTGTGTGTGTGTGTGTGTGTCCCTTTAGACCCAGGTACCTCTGAAACGCAGCGTTGCGCCGCTGGATGCTTCCTTGATCCCTAATTCTTACATCTCTTCCATACCGCAGTAGAGGCTAGCTCCCGGTTTTTGAAATGGAAGCCAGTCTTGGTTAGGCTCTGAAAAATGCGCTGATTCTTATTGTAGGAATCCTGCCTTTCCCTCTCCCTCCCCGCTGCGTTCTCCTTTCCCACCCTGCTCAAAAGGGAAAGCAAGCTAGTCCCAAAATATAGAAAAGGCAAGCTACACCCCCCACACGAAAATAAATATATAATGAGGTGCGTTGGCAACCAAGGACCGGTGCCCGGTTCCGGACCACCTATTTAGGGGTGGGTGGTTCCAAAGCTCTCCCTGACGGGATTTTTGCCTAAAGAACGGAGCCTGCAGACACAAGTGTAGCTCTGACGGGCCTTTCTCCAGCCATTTGCGCCATAGAAAGAGCCCAGCATGGGGAAGGGAGCGCGCCTGCCGTGCAGCGGGTTCCCCAAATGCTCTGCACCGACCCTGGCCTGTGGAGTAGGCGGCTCCGCGTCATCTTCTCTTATTCCTTAACCTGGCAGGATGCAGCCATTCGAAGATCACAGCTTCATTCCCCACGACACCCACCCCCACGCGGGGCACCCAAGCCCCAGTTCCCTGCCCGGCCGTACCTTGCGCGTGTTCATGTGCGCGCGCGCATGTGCGCGAACGTGTACCCTGAGCCCGCGCTGCCCCCAGCAGGATGTGCTTCCAGCTATCAAGAGGCCGGGCTCTGGCAGCGCCCTGGAGTCTCACTGGGGACACTTGAGGCGATTCCGGAGGGTCGAGTGACAAACCGTAACTGCTGTGCGGGTGCAATTAAATGACCGCCATGGGCCATTCGCAAGCCAGGTCTGAGCCTCTTCTCACCATTTGCGGCTCTGAATGCCTGCATATCCGCAGTCATTTAAAAGGGAATCCGGTAGATGCGCCGCAGTGCCTGACACTTCCGAGGGCTCTGGTGCCACCGCGCGGGGAGAAGAAGCCCAGCACACTCAGATGCAAAGGTCCAGTAACACAATCCCAATGCCACGCTCTCACCAGGAACTGCGCTTCAGGCATGCTCCAGCACCAGATGCGCAACTGCCGCGCTGAGTGCACGTTACTGTCCAGATAGTGCGCCTCTCACCCGACTCAGTCAATCTCCTGCCTCGGAAGTCCTCCACGCAACAAAAGACTATGTGCTGGAGTCCAGTTCAAGACATGAGAATGGTCACCTATCTGCCAGCAAAGACCAGGAATGAGACGGATGGAGGAATCAGAGAAGTCAGGGTAAATGTTTGGGTCTCTGCACAATCTTAAGACCACTAGGAAATTAAACCCATCTAGAAGGGTTTTTCTTCTAGATGCTACAACACTTAAATGCCTGGCCGAAGCCTGGAGCAAAAGTCAGCAAGTCAGCTCACCCCTTCACTGAGCCCTGATACATGTGGAGGTTGCACCACCGAGCTTCAGGTCACTACGCACTTCTGCCTGCGACCCTTGTTGCTGTGGCACAGAAACTGAAGGAAGGCAGAAAGGTCTTTGCCCAGCAGACACAGTGAAACCCTGCTGCCCTGTACTGCCAATGTCCTTTTGGGAAGATGTGTGTGTACATATATACACTTGTGTGTGTGTGTATGTATATATATATTATACATATGAGTATACACACATATACATATACATATGTGGGCTAGCCGACCATGGCACAGTCGGAGGAAAACATGTAGAAGTCTGTTCTCCCCTTCCTTGTCTGTCCTGGGATCAAACACAGCAGATCAGGCTGGGTTACTCACTGAGCCATCTTAACTTCCCATTGCCCACGCCTTTGGGTTGGAGAAGCCCTAAGGACGTTGTGGACAGGAAGGAGTAGCCCCTCCCTGTCTCAGGCCTATCTCACTCCTGCTTTTCTCAGACAACTCCCGTAGTGATGCCCCATAGTGACTGCAGTATTGATGCAGCACCCAGGGGTCTCAGTGTCCCTGTGGTTTATAGACAGAAGGGGTCTAATGAATGTTGGAATATCCGCAGATTCGTAGACCACCTGTGCAGTACTGCTACACTGGGAGTGTTAGACTATCCAGCTTCCTGCCCGTGTCCCCTGTACCAGTGTCTTGGTGCGCAGTGCTCTGTCCTCGAAACAGATTTATGAAAACTGCTTAGAGGTGGGGATGCTATCATTTTTATTCATTGACCTAGCTCCAGATCACAGTGGGGGTGTGCTTAATGTGTGCTTAATGGCAAACAAAATAAACTGAGTTTGAAACATGCCTTACCTAACCTCTAACGTAGTCAGCCGTCCGCGTTAAGCCTTCCTGGACATTGTCCCTCTCGCCCTGTAGTCCTGTGCTCTGAGTTTCCGTAGTCCTTCTAAAAACCTTACTCTCTACCTCCTCTAGTAACCAGATATGTTCTTCACTGGGTCAGGAAGGGCCCCTCCTCCATTCGCCGTGGTGGCTTAGCACACCATAGACAATATCAGGACACACAGATAACTGATAACTCCATTTTAGCTTACAGACTTAAAAATCTATATCAACTCTGAGACCTGAAAGCTCTTACACAGAGACCATTCCAAGGAGCCCCCAGACCTTGGCTTTTGAGGACATAATAAACATTTTAGGTGGATCATGTGACATAAAGATTGTTTTCCCTGGGCCCCTTCAGTGAAGAGACAGGTTGGTGCAGATCCTGCCTGAGCTGAACTATGGTGTCTTCCCACATCTGTCCAGACACAGATGGTGAGCTAGGGTAGAAATGCAGGTTCATCACAACCCAGTGCAGTACATACAAACAGCGTGCCTTTAAAGTTACATACACACACACAACTTGCCCTGAGTACATGAAGTTACATACATAAAATAAACATACTTTTTCTTTTCTGACATTTTGTTTTATAGTACTTATGATAATCTAGTAAATTGATTCTAACATCAAATACTGGGTTGTAAAAGTCACAAAATGCTACCAACTTGTGTTTCTGACTGAGGATCAAATTCCAAATCAAACAACTAACTAAATATATGTATAAAATAACTTTTCTTTTTTTAAGAAAATGGACACCAGACAACAAAATGAAGGCTACAGCAAAGCCTAACTCCCTTAATTTAGGAGACAAAACTCAGAGTTAGGGGAAATTAAGGAAAGCAGAGCACTCAGGATGGAGTAGATGTGTGGAAAGCCAAGAACTCTCGATCCTGATTAGCATTTTCAGAGGATGGAGCTACTTGTCATGGGGTTGGGGGGAGAAACCCTGCACAGATGGGAGGGAACTGTGTCTATGAAAAGAATCAAGAGGCGAGACTTGGAAGGGAGCTGCTAAACCTCCTAATAGAAAGAATGCTAGATACTGTACTCTAAAACCGTAAAAAGAACAAATGTCTCTAATCAGAGGCATTGACTGTGAGCTTGCTCCTTAAGATGGAGGTGTTGATAAACTCTGGAGAGGAGACCTGGAGCTATGGCTCACAGAGGACCTGGTTTAGTTCTCAGCATCCACTAGGTAGAGGAGAGCTGCCTGCAACTCCAGTGCGGGGGTTCTGATGCCCTCTTCTGGACGCCTGGGGCACTGCATTGCAAGATGCTAATGTACTCTCCAGGCAAACACTCTTAGAAAATAAATCACTATTCGTTAAAAGAGAAAGAAACAAAATACCAATGATAGCAAGCATGACAACAATGTCCATATGATTTATAACTATGAACAAAACCTATGGGTTTACTGTGATCAACTCCATGCAAAAACTTTGATGACATAAATAAAAGACAGAAGCCAACAATGCTCTCTCTACAGGAAATGGAGGAGTCAGATTTTACACTGATATGAATTTATCTTTTAAAATCTTCCTAAGTGGGGGTGCTGAGATGCTTGCTCTGCAGACATGAGCACCCATGTAAAGGCTGTGCGCAACTGGGGGTAGAGATGGACAGGTCCCAAGAGCTCATTTGCCAGTCTAGACAAGAAAACAAGCTTCCTGCTCAATTAAAATCCTGTATCAAAGCAATAATTCAGAGAGTGACAGAGGAATACACCCAGCATCCTGCCCTGGCCTTGTGTATGTGCACAGCTACTCCCCAACACATGCATCACCACCACCAACCCCATTGTGCATGTGTGCATACATGTGCACACACACACACACACACACACACACACACACCTTCACACAAAGAAAATTCTAGGCCCAGATAATTTCACTAGTGAATTCTACAAAACATGGAAAATGACATCAAAAACTACTTACTTCTTTCTAGAGTGTGAAGAGAGAAGAACACTTTCCTGCACCTTCTATGAAGTTGGCATGACTGTGACATTCAAATCTCAGCAGTCGTGCTGACTTCCAGTCTCACCAACACACTAAGAATTCTCCTTTCTCCAGCTTTGCCGCTTTGCTAGTCTGTCTTGTTGCTTTGTTTTATTAAAAACTGATGTAAGAATGTCTTACTTTTCAGTTGCTATGCCAAAACCCCATAGAGGAAAGACTCAGAGTCCACAGTTGTCACACAGATGCAGAAAAAACAAGATGAGGATGCCTCCCTAATAAAAAGATACCAAGCCACATGGCTAACACAGAAAAAAAAATGGGCTAATTCAAGATGTAAGAGTTAGTTAATAAGAAGCCTAAGCTAATAGGCCAACCAGTTTATAGTTAATGCAGACCTCTGTGTGTTTCTTCAGGAATAAAGGACTGAGAGACCAGAGGGGACAGAAATGTCTGTCTA